GGGGGATTATAATTTCACTAGGTGGCCAGAAGAGAGTTCTTATGGGGGGGGATTACTGCTGCCATGCGCCTTTTTAACCGTTTTGTAGAGTCCCATGCTTTGATTGATCTGCCCATTTTTGGCACGACTTTTACTTTGACTAATGGAAGTATCTCTAACTTGTCAATGTCTAGGATTGACAGGTTTATAGTGTCTGGAGAGTGGTTTGAATTGTTTCCCTTAGCATCTGTCAAAGCTCTTCCTAGACTTTCTTCTGATCATATTCCTATGTTACTATCATCTAAAATTTGGTCGGGGGGTCCTAAACCTTTCAGGATGGAAATAGGGTGGCAAAGGAAAAGGAAGTGGTTGAGCTAATAAGTACTTGGGAGAATTCTATTTCATTTGGTTATTTAGACTTCCAAATATATAAGAAGCTCCTGAATATTAAACATAAGCTTATGGATTGGAAAATAGTTAAGTACTTTTCTGTCAAAAATAAGATTGACGTTGTTTCGAAATGTATAGAGGAGGCGCTGATGAAGCTATGCAACAGTCTGGGGTTTTATCTGAGGAGTTGGCTATGGCAAGAAGTGTCAAAGTGAATGAGCTTCAGGAGCTTAGAAAAGTGAATGTATTGAAAAAAAATATCTAAGGTTAAATGGTTGAATGAGGGAGATTTGAACACCACATTCCTTCACGCCATAACTAATGCTGGAAGATGTCAAAATGATGTTTCTGGCCTCTTAATTCAGGGAGTGGATTCTGATGATAGTGAAGGTATGTCCCAAGCTATTTTCAGTCACTTCTAGAAAGCTTTCTCATCAGAAGTCAAAGTCACTCCTAGGCTTAGTAGGGTGGGAATTAAAGTCCTTGCCTCCAATTTGATTCCTATCCTGAATAGGGATGTCTCTTTGGAAAAGTTAAAAAAACTGTCTTTGCTCTCCTGGGCGATAAGGCCCTTGGTCCTGATGGCTTCCCTCTGATTCTTTTCCAAAAGTTTTGGAATTTGATTAGTGGTGAGCTTCTGGAAATGATTAGGGGATTCCTTAGGAGAGAACATATTTTTAAAGGAGTGCACTCCACCTACATTGCTCTGATCCTTAAAAAGTCAGTCATAGCTAATTTGGGAGACATCAGACCCATTAGCCTGTTGACGAGCCTCTACAAAATAGTGGCTAAGGTTTTGGTTGAACGCTTGAAAGTGGTTCTACCAGTCATTATTTCTGGTCTCCAATCTGCCGTCATCAAAGATAGGCTAATTTCTGACAGTGTTTTGATTGCACAAGAGTGTATCCATTCGCAAATTCTTTGTGGAGGCCTTGGAGTTGTTGTCAAACTAGACATGGAAAAAGCTTATGATAGGGTGGAGTGGAATATTCTAGTAGAGATAATGAAGAAGCTGGGTTTTAGCGAAAATTGCAGACAATGTATCTTTGGATGCCTATCCTCACCTCATTTCTCTAATTTGTATAAAGGAAGTCAGACTGAGTTCTTTAAGGCTACTCGGGGTCTTCGCCAAGGTGACCCTCTCTCTCCTTTCCTCTTCAGTGTTTATGCTAAATGTTTCAGTTTAATGTTGTCTAATGTTGCAAGGAGTGAAAATTTTTCGGGTTTTCAACTGCCTAACAGAGGACCTTGTATTTCCCACTTGCAATATGCTGATGACACACTGTTATTCTATGAAGCTCAGATTGCTCAGGTTAGCAATATTGCAACTTCTTAAGTTGCTGTGAAGTTTCCTTAGGACTTAAGGTTAACTTTTGGAAAACTACAGTTGTTTGCTTGAATTATAGTGATGAAGTGATAAGTTCAATGGCACAGGTTCTAGGGCGCAAGGCAGAGAAGTTTCTAATCATGTATTTGGGAATGCCAATCTCGGATGGCCGACTACCAATTGTGGTTTGGGACAAAATTCTGTAGTGATTCCAAGTGAAGCTTGACTTATGGAAATTTAAGTATCTCTCATTTGGGGGTAGGATTACTCTGATTAAGACATGCTTGTCGAACTTACGTATATATCAGATGTCAATCCTACAAATCCCTTTTTCGGTGGCTAGGAGAATTGAATTGATGATGAGGAACTTTCTATGGGGGTCCTCCTTGGAGACGAAGAAATTTCATCTTCTTCGATGGGATAGAGTGTGCACGCCCATAGAGGAGGGCAGTCTTCGGATTAGGAAAATTATTGTTGTTAACCAAGCCTTGCTCTGTAAATGGTGGTGGAGGAGTTTAACTTCTAAAGATCATCTATAGTACAAAGTTATCGCTTCGAAGTATGGAGAGGACATATTTGGTATGTGGGTGGGTAAAAGAAATGGGGTTAGGGGAATGTCTTCATGCTGGAGATTGATTTATAATTGTAAAGCCTTGATTCATAAAGACATTTGTTGGACCTTAAGCAATGGCACCAATATTTCATTTTGGCATCATAAGTGGTTGGGGGATGCTCCTTTGAAACTAGTTTTTCCTTTGATTATCCAAAGAATGGCTAACCCTAATGCTGTAGTCTCTAATCTCTATGAGCGTAGGGGTGATCATATTCTTTGGAATATCAACCTTCCTTATAATAAGATTCATGATTCTCTCTTTTTTGAACTCTTTGGATGAAGTTAATATGCCTTATAATGCTGAGGATGAGGCTGTTTGGGAGATCGATAAGGATGGAGATTATTCGGTGAAGTCTATGTACCAGCTGCTCTTCCACAATAGGTGGCGGTGGTCTAGGCCTGCATTTGTCATCGTTTGGAGGTGGCCTTTACCTCTTAAGGTGCAAGGTTTTTTATGGATGACTGTTCAAAATAAGGTGTTGACGGTAAATAATCTTATCAAGAGAGGAAAAATATTGCCAAATGTATTTCTTCTGTGTGAGGATGGGGAATATGAAGATCATCTTTTTTTGCACTGTTCTTTTACCTATTATATTTGGAGTAGGTTCTTTGACCTGCTTGGGATTGCAATGGTATTGCCATCAAGTATTGTAGGTATTTTACAAAATTTAGCGATAGACTTACCTCGAACTAGCGTTATTATTTGGCAAATCACTAGAAGCGTAATTTTATGGGAAAACTAAAAATAGAGGAATAGAAGAGTGTTTGACGGGATTAGCTTGCCCTTTGAGATAATATGGGAGAAGATTTTGCATGCTATTTGATTATATCTGTCAATTACCAAAGTTGGCCAAGATATTCGGATATGGATGTTAGGAGAAATTTTAAGATTTTGTTTCAGCTGGGTTTTTTGAATTGCAGATCGAAAGGAAGATGGGTGACCCTGGTCTTTGGGATATTCAAGATAAACTTTGATGGCAGTTCGTTAGGAAATCCGGGTCCTACGGGATTTGGTGGTGTGCTTAGGGATTGGCTGGGGAATGTTATCTTTTCTTATGCTAGTCATCTTGGGGTGCGTACTGCTAATTATGTTGAACTATATGCACTTTTATATGGCTTAAGTATCTTTGTGGCAAGAAACTTGGGGCATTACAGCGTTCTAGAAGGTGATTCCATGAACGTCATCAAATGGTGTAAAGGGGAGCAGAAGTTGCCTTGGGAGTTCAAATATCTGCTTCTTCAAATCTTTGACCTCTCTAGTCCCTTTTCCTTTTCTTTTGAACATGTCTATAGGGAAGCGAATGTTATGGCTAATTCTCTTGCTAAAGGGGGTTCTCTCCTCACTGAGACTCTTGTCTCTGACTCTGTAATTTCATTTTAGTTTAATAGAATAATGGAATTTCAATAAATAAAAAAAAGGATTGTGAAAAAATTAATATTTTATTGGAAAACTTATTTCACCACATCATTAATTTTAAGATGCCTTTTTCACTACGATTTTATCTAAGCACAATGTAAGACCAAATGTCAAATGCTTAATATTTTATTAAGAAACACAATATTACTAGGTCATAATTACTCCTAGCCATTAAATTCATTTGGAGTGTCAAACAATATTCAAATTTTTTTTTTTTGGACTCCGAGTCTAATAAAAGCTACCCGATTTAGAACTGATGGATAATGATTCTGACCTCCTTGTACTGAAAATAAATAGTTTACTTTTTATTCTATTTAGAAAAATAAATAATATTTTTATATATTTTTCCATTTATTATGACAAGAATTAAGCAAACAATACTTTGTTAACTTTCTAATTTGAGGCAAGAAATAGGCACTATTGCAAGTCGGTTTTATCACAACATGTAACCTATTGCCTCGTGTTGTGGTAAAATATTATATTAAATTTAAAATTTTTTGGTGAGAAACAGGCACTATTGCAAGTCGCGTTGTCACGCCATGTGACCTATTGCCTCGTGTCGTGGTAAAATACTATATATTAAATCTAAAAAGAATGCCTTTGGGGGGATTTGAACCTTGCTATGAGTTCTACCACTGCTCCATCAACTTGGAAAGTGACAGAATTAAAAATCATATTATATCTACATGGCTGTCTTAATAAAAAACAAATACACGGATGTGTCTTAATAATATCAATATCAAGGGCAATGATTTTATGTAATGGTTGTAGAGTAATATGATATATAGTCATTTGTTTGATCCAAAATTTGAAATACGTTTCATTTCAATGAACAATAATAAATAATAAATAAATAAATAAATAAATAAATAATTGAAAATACAACTTATAAAGTATTTTTTTAGCCCAATAAACATAAGACGTTCATTTTGGTGAGATGTTTAGATCTAGGCCTTAGAAGGATTTTTTCATTTCTAATTTTTTTGGATGGCTTTATTATCATTAGATGAACAATGTGAAAAAAGAAAAAAATGATTTTGAGTTTAGAAAGGCTAAGATCATGAAATTCAATAAATTAATAGTTTAGATTCGTTTTTGGAGGAACTCATTTTGACCATATCTAGGTTTGAAATTAAATGTTTTTTTTTTTATTGATTATTGAGATGAAGAGAGTGTGTATGCAAAATATTGTGTCATACAAATACCACAAACATGATTTTCTAGAAGAGTCATGAGATAATATTGTGATACAACCATTACATGAATTCATTGCCCTAATATCAATATTTATTTCTCAACCCTTAAGACACCCAACAACTATATCGGTGTTTTTATAAAAGTCCTACAAAAGCAATACTGAGAAAGGATCCCAAGCGTCAAACCATAATGGGATAATTATTGGTCCCGTAGCAAACACAAGAAGAGAGCGCGCTCTTATTGAGGAAGCTTGTTGATCTTACGATGCTGGAAGCCCTTGAAGGTTTTAGTTGAAAACAATGGGGGATTAGTCTCGTTTAAGAGGTGGGGAAGAGGCCCAATGATTTTGTCTGGTAGAGGCACGAAAAACACTGCCCATGACATACGTGTTTCGTCGTTGCTCACCAAGCTCCTGTGGAGAACGCTTTTGTATCATCTATTGCTCAACACCTTCAACACAAATCAAGCAAACTCGAATGAATGGATCTTCCTTTGGGAGTTCTAACTATGTCCATAAGGTTACTGATTGATGGGAAGAAATTTGCTGGAAAACTATGCTGCATGTCGAGAACTCTTTTTATTTTTATTTTTTATTTTAATATCATCTGCTATTAGAAAAACGAAAAAAGAAAAAAAAAATTGACGACAGTTGCCATTATTGATCCTTGGCCTACAATTGTAGACACTTAGTTATCAATCCAGGGGCGAGCTTAAAAGCCACAACTTCATTTATTCCAGCATAGCGCTTCATGAACTTAAGAAATGTATATAATGAGACCATCTACTTTTGGTATAAGAAAGTCCTATTTATTAAGAAACTATATAATGAGATTATTTACCCAAAAAAAAAATGGTTATAATGACATAGTCACAATTAATTTTGACCATTGGATGTGAAATTGAGTGGCTGCATTTATTTCATTAACCAAACTCAATGTTCAAAAGAAATTTTCCCGGACTTTGTGACACGTCCAAATTATCAAATTTCACATTGGATGGTTGTAAGTAATTGTGATCTCCATATCTTAAAGACAAATTGTCTCATTGTATACCATCCGTATTTATTATTGGCTATTAAATGTGAAATCAATTGTTGGGGATGTGTCAACTTCACACAAACTGCAAAATAAAATTGCTCGAATGTTGTTTCCCATTTCAATCTGTCTGATTTCATATTCCAATGCCCAATATTGTAAATAACAAAAGTGAATAGTCTTACTATACACTATCCCTTAAGAAAATGGGCTGCCCTTCCAATATAAGCTTTGCTTGGGCCTAATAACGATGTTCCGCTTCTACTTTAACATAGTTTAATTGATGATGTACAAAGGGAGCTACACTTCTCCCAAACATGGTTTAGTTGATGGACGCTGAATTTTGAAGTCAAGTTTCAAGATCTTTCGTCCTTTGGGCATTCCTTTAAAAATTGTTTCATGAGTCGTGGGACACATTTCTATATTTGTGGCCCCAAGGTTTAAAACATTCACTTTAAAGATGGATCCAAATGGGCGGTCCATCTACAAATAGTTGAAACCAACGGTTCAAATGTTTTTTTCATAAAAGCATTATTTTAAATTTTTAAAATTTATTTATTTTTCAATTTCATGATCTCCATGTTAGAGATTATATGTCCTTAAGGGCACTCATTTCTACAAGAGTAATAGAAACCGTGTCCTTAACAAAATCAAAGTAATCATAAGTAGCAAGTAATCCACCAAAATAAAGTTAATGCAGGGGTATGACACCCCATTTTTCTCAAGAATTTTAATGCTGTCTGTGCCTGACTCAATTATAATAATTCCACGTCCAATTTTTTTCAAGAACTTTAATGCTTTCAATGCGCCTCAATTACAATATTTCCACGTCGACTAGTTAAGTCTCTTTCAATTTCTTGCATTTAAACTAACTGTTAAAGCTTTCATGAACTATTTAACTTCGAAACTATAAAAACTGTAAAACCGGTATAATACATCTTACATGTATGTATTTTTATGGGAAATGTTTTTATATGGCCAGGATTTTATAATAAAAAACGTAAAGTCACACCTCAAAACCACGTCGAAAATTACACTTTAACACAAAAAAACCCCTCTTGGATATGAAGAGAAGAAATAAATTTCAAGCCCCATAAATATTAAATCTTGTGGCACATTACCTGGATTTGCTCATTTGCAAGTGTGTGCTATACTATATTTGAAGGTTAAAGTTTCAAAATCAGATAAAGTAAATCTAAGGCCATCATGAGGTTCTGGTGCCCGAATTGCCATTTTACGATAGGCGTGGCTGTATTTATTTTTACTGTGAAGCCTTGGCCTCGTGCTACACACACCCATTACATAAACCGGGGTTCATAAACTCACACGTAACTGCAACCATCTCATAAAACACTGTTCATAAACTAACCTCGAGCCAGGTACTTGGTCTTGGCCCAAGGCGACTTAGGACTCACTCAAGAACCGTACGAGTCCAAAAGCTCTAGAAAATTTTAAATTATACCAAAAAATGGAAAAATATAGAAAAATACAACAAAGGTCTAAAAGTTAAGTAAAACCAAAAGCAACAAAAAAGTATAGGACAAAGGGTTTTAAAAACGGAAAAAAATTATGTAAGGTTGCAACCTGAAAATGTAGAATTAAATATGCACTTAAAAAATCCATCGGATAGGATTGTTTTTAGGTTGAAAAACGCTATAATTGATCATCTCGACATTGAGACGTATGAATATGGAAAAAAAAAAAAAGATTTTGAGTCCAAAAAATAGTGCATCTTGCAGCATATTATCTAGACCGTCCGTTTTCAAGATTTTCATATGTTTATAGATATACTTGATTTCAGCCATTTTTAGAATTTAAAATATAATAATTAGATATAAAAATAGATTTTCAGATAATCTTAAGAATATTTTACACCAAAATTATTTATTATGATCAAATTTGGAGGTGCGCTTTGATTGGATTGTTTAAGGTTGCAACCTTATAGAAACCGCACCCTTTAAAAATATCCTTTATCATTGGGAACATTTTAAAAAATCCAAACACAGAAAATTTAAAAATACAGATTATCATAAAAAAACGTTAGCCCATAATTGAAAAAAAACTCAAAATTATATATAGAAAAATTATACAACAATCCGGTCTTTCCTACTTATGTTTAGAATTTTTTCAAAAACTATTTTTATGGACCCTGAGTTGTACACATAACTCGGGGCAACTTGGCGGTCTTATAACACTAACATATAAACTATAAAATAGTCATGCATATAAAATTTGCTCTCTCACTCACACCCATAAATAGGGTTGGCAATTGCCCAGCCTACCCAATATCTAGAGAGAGCTTTCTGGGGGAGAGAAATAATTTCCACTTCGAGAGAGATTAATATAATTATTTGTTTGGTGTAAAGCGAAGACTCATATTATTGTATTTATTTAGAGACATAGGGATACAAGTAGGGTTGGTTTTGTGCAATGAGAGTAGGCAATGCACTAAAAGAGAGTATAGCAGGATTGTATGCGTGGAGTGAGCGAGATTAGTAGATTGAATGTATGAACAAAGAGAGTAATAGGGCATACGCTTTGGGGAAAGAGAGTAGGATTTGTGCAAACAGCGAGCAGCAGGATTCATTAAGGAGAAGGAGATAAAGGGAAACCTTTGGGAGAAGACAAACAATTTGTTGTGTTTGTGACGGAGCGCTTTGGGGAAAGAAAAATGGCGTTTGGGTATGTAACAATAGTAGTAGCATGGTTTTGATGCTCGGCCGAGGCCACTTGGACTCGGTCGAGTAACTCGTCCTCCCTCCAAGTTAAAGCGAGTTAGTTGTACAACTTTATAAACTATGTTTATATTTGGGCAAACTTTCTATGCTTTCCCTACAACATAAAACTTATATACACTTATCCATCCGTCCATTCTGAATGGAGGGTTAAGATTGCCTCAATCACAATGTCACCTTTCAACACTTTTTTATTTTAAAACCTTTTCTATAAACTATTATGAATTTTGTACATCTAATACTCTATTAACCTCGCTCTAACGAAAAATATAAAAAAAATATTTCCTATAAAATAAAATGACAAAAATACCCCTGAAATTTTCAAGGGCTATTTTGGTCACTATATTTTATCGAAAAATTATTTTTAATATTTTTTATAGGTACCCCGAATGAGAAGATGGCACATACCAAATTTTTAGGGAAAGGTTTCTATACTAACTTCTACAACATAGAAGATCTATGCTTCTCCTACCATCCAGCCGTCCAATTTTGATCAAGAGAGCCACTCACCGTATGATCTTAGTTCCGATGTCTTAAGGTATTTTATTTTTATTTTTTTTTGTAGAAATTGTATGGATATGAAATTTGGTATGTGTTATCTTCTCATTTGGGAGCACCTATAAAAAATATTAAAATTAATTTTTCGATAAAATATAATGACCAAAATGCCTCTTGAAGCTTTCAAGGGTGTTTTGGTCATTTTATTTTATTGAAAATATTGTTTTTATATTTTTTGCTAGTGAAAGTTTAATAGGGGATTAGACGATCAAAATTTGGTTCCAAAATAGTTTATAGAAAAAAATTTAAAATAAAATAGTGTAGAGACGTGACATTGTGACTGAAGCAATCCTAGCCCTCCATTCAGAATGGACGGTTGGATAAGGAGAAATATAAAAGTTTTATGCTGTAACGAAAACGTAGAAAGCTTGCCCTTATATTTATATGTCACATTTAAGTTACATAAGTTGTCAAGTCTCTCTGGTTATTGTTTTCACGTAAGAGTTTGTAGATTTTGTATAGTGAGTTGGTTCTAAAACAACTTTATAAATTATATTTATATGTCACATCTAAGCCACATCAGTTGTTCTCATGGAAGAATTTGCTGGTTGTACAACAACTTTATAAACAGTATTTATAGTTATATTTATATGTCGTCTGGTTATTACTTTTACGTTTTATAAAAACTTGTCTTTTTTTTATTCAAAGGAGCTTTAAAAACATTATTAGGACATGAGGAATTGAACCTAAAAACCCTCCATTATGGATGCCGCCAATGTCTCGAACAATAACCAACACATCATCAGTATTTAATATTAATAAGCTTCGAACGAAACATACATATTATGTTTTTTTCTTTATTTTTGTTTTTTAAAAAAATGCACTTGACTCGAGTGAGTTATTCAGACTCACCCGAGTAAATAGTCTCGGCCAGGGCCCAAATATATTGGCCGAGTTGATTTTTTGAACACTGAGTAGTAGGATTCGCTTTTTCAAGAGTGACACTAGTATCAATTGACTTTATTTAGAGAGAGAAACTATTAGGATCAACTTTGTGGGTAGAGAGAGAAAAATGGGGATCACGTTGTAAAAAGAAAGAAAGAAAGAGAATTAGAGAGCCGGTTTGCGGTTACGGAGAGAGTCAGAGTTTGGGTTTTACCAGAGAGGGAGAATGAATGTGGAC